CAGCAGAAAAAAGCCACCCATGTTCCTGTTGGTGTTTTTCAAGGGTCTAGGTTACAAATTAAAGGGTTTTTTGCCAAGAGCCCAACTCCAAGATGCGCATACAGCAGAAAAAAGCCACCCATGTTCCTGTTGGTGTTTTTCAAGGGTCTTGGGTTGCTATTCCGATGTTCTCAAGGGAGATCACAGAAAGTGAATACAGAGCCCTCGGGTTAGGATCTGTTTCGTGCCGGCGGTTTTTTGGTGCGTTCCTTTGGTGTTCCCTGAAAGCATTTGGAGATATGGCCTGGTAAACGAGCTACGGGTTGCAAGCCTTCATTCAAGGCTTGCGCCTTTTTTTATTGCCCATCTCACTTCCATTGCCGCTGTAGGTAATCAGTCAGGAATCTTTAACCTGTTGATATGATGAGGGCGTCCCTTGGTCAATGACATAAATGGCAGCTCTGAGCATGAAAAGGACTTGAACCAGGGATAGTTCACGTACAAAAACCCTGCGTTTCAGTGGGTCCTTTCTGGGGGTAGGAAATGAAGCCATTGAAGCGTGCCCTGGCATCAGGCACATGTTACTAAGCTCGAGATTTGGCAATAGTCAAAAATATGGTGACGACTTTCAAAGGGGAACACAAGGAACCAACCATGTGGCTCCTTCGTATTGGAAAGCAGCCAAACGAAGCCGTTCATGCCATATTTGCGCCCCTAGCTGGCCCTAGCTGGGCCCGCAGCTGTTCCACGACACCCTGCAAGATCCTTCCCACTTGGTGCTCCCTTTGTAGCTGTGTCCCGATTTGTGAAGTTGACAAACGGCCCAGGTGGGCAATGTTCAACGCTTGTTTGGTCGATTCCCCATCCGAAAGCCAGCGCCATGGAAGGTTTCTCGAGAGAAAACCAGTCCCTCAATTTCCCCTTTTTGGACTCCAAAACATCGAAGCTTCTTTATGGGCAAGCAACATCATCCAAGTGTTGCTTTGCGGCATTCCGGGCTCAACGTCTAAAAAGACTCGGCGTCGAAATGCGCGGTCGCATTTCTTTCGGCGCCTCGCATGTTTTTTTCCCCCAGGAATCCTTTGGGATGCTTGGGCTTCCGCAGCCTCTTGCGGCTTATGGCCAGACAGTTCAACAACATCAGGCCGGGCCCGTTCTGCGCTTGGAAGCAGTTCCCCGTGCCAGCGCCAAGGGGAACCGTGTACAAAGGATTGTTTCAGGTGCCAGACAGGCATTCCGGAGAGGCAAATGGAAAAAGGCTTGTACCTGGCTTCTAGGTTGAACATTCCGTGAAACAGACTGACGGTTCCCTTGAAGGGAACGAGGCTACTCTGCATGTTCTTTCCCAGATTGAACCTGGCGGATGTGGATTCAGAAAGTTCCCATTGACTGGGAGCAACACTTGCCGTGGACAAGCAAGGGGTGAACTAGAGTCTGCTTCAAGATGTTGCACAAATGCTTGGCCCAATAATGCTTGTGTCAATGTTTGGTGTGCGTGTGTGTTTGTGACTGTTTTGTATATCATATTGAGGAATTATTGCTTAACTGCCCTGACTGCGGTGACTGCCCTGACTGCCTTGACTGAAAACATACTTGCGAAATGCAGCCCGCGAATGGCTTGACACGCTCAGTGTGCTTGAGTCAGATGTGGTGTGTGGCAGGCACTTCGACGCAGACGGCTGCTTCACAGGCGCCCCAGATGTTGATGAGGATTCTTCGGTGGCGCTGTGCCAGTCGTTCTCCTTCACGAATCCAGGCGTCGCTCCGGGACTTGGGGCTCCAACTAGGCTCAAACTGGGCAAAATGAAGCCATTCTGTGACCCCCTCAGGTCGACCGTCTCTTGGTCTCCATCTCCGGATTTCCACAACTGCGACAGCGATTTTGATCTCTTGAAATCTGGGTTGTTCAAAAGCAGTCATTGATCCTTCCCTTGGAATTTTAAACGGGGTCCCCTTCGCTACTTGGCAAACAGCTAGAGATGAAGGATTAGGATGGAAGGCCAAGCATTTTGAGCAGCTCAGGAAAATTGAACGTCCTTTGTGAGTGGTTCGTCTCAACTGCCATCTCAGCATTGCACGTTGGTCTGAGTTGGAGGCATTTCTTTCTCAGAGCAAAAGTTTTTTGCAGGGAAACTGCCTGGCACAACACACAAGTGAGTCTTGATCATGTCAAGGCCCACACACTCCAATGAGTTCCAAGACAGAGTGTCGCTTCCTTAGTCCAAGAAATGAATCAAGCTGACACCCTTCATCCTTTTTGTTGCGGGGACAGCCAGGTGGCCGCTACAAATTGGAGCTGGACCGACCCTACCACCGCGCCATGCTGCGGATGCTCTGCAAGACCACTGAGCGCTACAAGGCGCGGAAGGACCGAAAGGACCGCGGACCGCGGGCCTCGGCTCCGAAGGCCTCGACGATTTAGAGGCGCCTGAAAACGTCCTTTTTTTGAATCCACTTGATGTGGATTCAGTTTGAATCCACTTTTTTTGGAATCGGATGGTGTGAACTCTCACTCCCTGAGTTCCTGGACTTTAAACTTTTTGGGAAGACCATTTTAGTGGTAGATACAAAGTTTGGACTTTTTTTGGGCCATCCACTCAGCAAGTGAGTTTTTGCAGTTTGGTGCCTTTCAGTGAGTGTGTCAGTTGATTCCACTTGATCAGTCGATTGAGGTGCGCCTAAGCTGAGAAGGTGTCCTCAAACTCCCACTAAACGGGGCGAATACATCGAAGCCGTCCATATGTCATCTTTGTTGGAGCACAACTAAAATGGCGGACTCCCTCTTCGGATGGTTGTGAAGGCCACATTTGGCGCGCGATGTATATGTTCTGTAGTGTGTTTATCGGTGCGCGCTTCGTACACGCACAAACTCTTCTGCATGATTCATACAGGCCCTTAAGTAGCTTCTTATGTGTTGAAATGCAAAATGTCACAACGCATGCTGACAGAAGTAGACACGATAGACTGTCAGGGGAAGCCTTGATACCAAAGGGCTACTCTGTTTTATCTGAACGAATCATCCCAACTCGGGTGCCTTTTGGCCTTGGATCTGTAAAGGCCGATCCACCTATCCACTCCACGAAAGCATTCGACCAACGCGAACTCGCACGAGCCGGAAATCCAGGTGACGGTGGACAAGGGCATGTTCGACGTCAGCTACTCCTTGGGCCATATGTCACCCTTGACCAAGTCACTCGGCAATATGTCACTGTCAAGACCCGACGTGATGTGGCTTCAAACTAACCATGCAATCCCAACCTGCTTCGTATATCCTTAACAACTGGTTCGCCTGAATACAAACACAATTTACTTGCACTTTTCCGGGAGTGCTCTTTGTCTTACTGCCAGTCTCATGCTCCTACCCAAGTTTTAAGTCGCGCACAGAAATGTGGGACACAACACTGTACGCATAAAGGTGCACGCCGACAGCTTGTTTGCTCGATTGTTTGCGTGTGAAGCAAGCACATGAATTGATCTCGTTGCATGTGCGTTGGATTGGTGTGCAGGTGGAAGACATACATCCCAGCTAACATTCCTGTAGGAGCCCATCCCGATTATCCCTTCGGAGCTTTGAGTCAAACAGTCCTTGCCTTCACTTCTTGCCATGTGGGTGTGGCTCAAAATTAAACAGGGGGGGTTACGCGGGTTTTAGTCTTTGGTTCCATTTACCAGGGTTCAATTTTGGTACCGGTTTTTTGAGCCACAGCCATGTGTTTGCAGTTTTTCGCTGTCTATTTCTTGTCATGCTTCAGACACCTCAGGGTGGTGTTAAGAGCCGTGTTGTTGACATAGTCACCAGGGGCCAAACTTGGGAAAATGTGGATGCTTGCCACAATCCAATGTCATGCTTGGCGAAACCCATGCAGTCAGCCCTAGTGTCAATCCATACAGATACCCTTTGATTCCGTAAATGTTGCAAGGAGGACACGCTGCAATTTGCCATGTTGTGTGACTGGCTTACTTGCTGGTTTACTTGCAGTCGTTCAGAAAGCGACAACCCGCCCGACAACAACGATCCAGTTGCCCCCTTTCTGTTCGTTCTATTGAAAGAATCATGGATAGATCAACAATCCCTTCGCGGTTTTTAGGCACTGAATTCTTCCACCGGATGTTGGGGGCCACAAAGATGGAGCCCTGAATTCTCTTAGGCCTTGGCTACTTTCACCCAGTGGATCCCAGGCATTTCGCCACTACAACAGGCAACCAGCAGTTTTTTCATTTTGGTTTTTAAAGGGTGGCAAGCCCTTGGTTCCCTACTATTTTACTACATAGGTAGACGGAATCACGTGACAGGCACTCCACGGGCGTGTGGCAAGTGCCCTGCACGGGCGAACTGAACTTCACCTTCAGCGTGGAGAGCGAGCTCGAGGCCCCAAGTTGCATGCCATGTTGCCAGGTCCGTGGCTGCGCGGGGCCAACCTGGGGTGTGTCTTTTTTTTTTGGGGGACCCACCAAAATGAGGGCTTTCCCTTGGTTTTCCTTTAAGCCCATCGAAAAGGGGGATCCCAGAAAAAGACAGCGGGCAACACAAGTTCTCGATTGCAGCTTCAAAGCGATGAACACGCATATGGCTTCACCACAATGCTGACCTGTTGGCCTTTGCGCGCCTTTGGCCTTTGTCATTTTTGAGCCAAGGTTCCCAACGATCAACCCCTCATTTCCAGGTCCATTTGGGGTTCATGTTGGTTTCCCCAATGGACACCCAACGTTTCTAGATGGGAATCAAAGCACTCCAGGCGCTTGGCAAGGTTCTGGAATTTGTGTGCATGCCAGCTGACAACTTGTCGAGGAGAACATGAAAGGCATCGAAGACGACAACTTTATCGGCTTTCTGCAGAGCCTCGATCTGGTGCAGAACATGTCTTTGTTGAACTGCTTGTAAATTATTGCACTATTGGTTCTGAAGGAATTGTAGTTACTGTATTGCTTGTCAACATGGGGTTGCTTCTTAGGTAACCCATGGGTCCTGTGATCCCTTGAATAAAAAGTACACCTGAAAAAACAAGGACCAGACCATTCGACTTGTTTTTGACAAAAGCTCACTTAGGACGAGCTCACTTAGGTCCCTTGAGGATTCCTTCCTTCCGACTCGTGACTTTTGGCAGTTTCAGATATGATGCAATTTGCTGTTTGTTGGTTCCGGCAAGTGAAAGTACACCTCGAATCACAGGCCTTTTCGGGGGTGAGGGGGGTCATGTCTGCTCCCACGCCTTTCTCAATGAAATGTGCAATCATTGCGTCGATGAGGTGTTTATGGATTTTGAAGAACCACACGAACTAAGGCCCCACAAAGATTTGTTCCATGGCACCAGTAGGGCAGCATGCGTGGATGTGTATGGAGCCATGACTTGCGATCATGGACGTGAGTTGGACACGTGGGGATTTCAAAACACAGGTAATTGCAGGGGGTTTGTTCTTTGGGTGTCCCTTTGAACGCCACACGAGAAGTGAAAACGATGTTTGGAAGGCCCAATGTGTCAAAATAAGTGGGACCGACAGTGTTGTGTGAATTTCCCTTTGAAACGGTCACCAAGAGGGTCCCGAGCAAGGTGTGGCACACCCCCATCGCTGCAGTTCCTCCGCCACCCCCCCAAATCAAATGGGCTACGAAACCTTCGGGCGGATAAAGTTATTCTACCCCACTTCCCCGTCGGAAATTTCCGGGCACCGGACACCCTCTTGGAATGACATTTCTCACCTCTCAAGGGCGTCCCACTTCAGTCTGGCTGAGTACTGACAGGGACAATTCACTTGGGTAGCTGGAGTATCTTCTCGATGGATGCTTCAATTCACCTGCCAGCTTTACACCCCCACCGCCATGCATGCATGCATGCATGCATATGTATTTAATGTATTTCATATATATATATATATACATGGAAAAGTCTGGCTAAGATACGTGTTTTGGAGGTTTTACAGTTTGCCAATGTTTGGACCACTGATGCAGGGTTGCTCTGTTTCCGCATTCCCAGTGTTTGGTTGTTATCATCACTGCCATGGTCGCTCAACAGGTTCACAAGGATGTAGCCTCCAACTCCCTTTGCCGCTCTGTGAATTGGATCCTCCAAATTCCCCTAAACATCAGTTCTTGCCCCAAAATTCTGGTTGGCCATTCCTTTTTTTTCCATGGGTAGTGTTCAGGGTACCTTGTTTGCCCCTACGGGTTCGGCTCAGGAAGCACTTCGACCTCACCCGCTTCCACCCGGACTGGAACAAGGTGGTTCCGCTTTGCGCCAAGTGGGCGGAGCTCTCCGGGCGGCTCGGCCGAATCCGATTCGCTGAAGCGAAGCGGCCTAATTTCTGACCTTCCTTTGCACCTTGGTCCATGTTCAGTGGGCCCCAAAACCTTTTCTGTTTGGGTCCCTTGGACTACTTTCAGTGGGCCTCAAACCTTTTATGTCTGAATCCTTTGAGGAAATAAGATCTGACCTGATCTACGAAATGTACGCAGGTTTCCCATGTTGGGACGCGCAGCGGGTTTTTGGAGTGAGCGAGCGAGCGAGCGAGGCGGTCCTTGGACCAGGAGGTCTTTCTGCAGGCGCTGGCCAAAGACTTCAACATGACTGTGGCCTATGCAACTGGGCTAAACGAGAGCGAGCGAGCGGTTCTTCTGGTATCTTCCGGGTGGTTCAAGGGAAACAACCGGCCTCACCCCATTTATTTGAAGGGGGTTGTACGGTTGGAGCACGGAAACGAAAAGGCCAGGGATGATTTTCCACAAGTAGTCGTTTCTCGTAGCCTTGTGCCGTTCTGGGGAATATCTTTTAAACACCTATGTGACTAGGGATGCAAACCCAACAATGGGATGAAGGGACAAACAGAAAAACGCGGCCCTCGAACTCCCTCCTCCATGCTGCTTAAATCTGAGACTTGGATCATGGAAAGTGCGTGAAGGGTGCGGCGATAGTTTGCATCATGGCTTTGGGTGCCCCCCCCCCCCTCCCCCTCCCTTTTGCCAGGTTTTCCTGATGACTCTCATGTTCCAGCCTTCAGCCCTTGGCCCCCGACCGCCTCATATTGCCCAGAGGTAATTACACTGCATTGAGTCGATTTGTTGCAAACAAAATTGGGGGATCGGGGGCTGTAGAGTCTCCAAGAGAATGGTCTTGCCACTGGGAGCGCCTTGGACTGCATGCTTGAGTCCTTCATGAGGGAGGCTTTGTGATATCCCTGCGGGAGGATATGCTGCGAGGGTTAGAGGCATCCATCTGAACAATCAGATTTAGCCGCAAACAACGAGAAAACCACATGGTTGCGAGGGTTAGCTCGGTGATTTGGGACTACACAAATATATCTAACATTATTATTATATTATATATATATATGTATGGTACCCCCTCTGGAATACTCAGGTTTTCGTGCAGAACTCTGTAGCTTATATGGTCCCCCCCCTGAACTCAGGTGTTCGTTCAATCATTGACATTTTTGCTGTAAAAAATGCATGCGAAATGCAGTTGTCAGCTTCTAAAAATATTGCTCAACAATTCCACTCGCTTTTAAACCTAAATTATAGCATCAGTA